AGAGAGACAGACAGAGACACAGACAGAGGAAGAAGCAGGCTCCATGCGGGAGCCCGACGCCGGACTCGATCCCCGGACTCCAGGATCGCACCCTGGGCCAAAGGCAGGCGTCAAACCGCTGAGCTACCCAGGGATCCCCCCTCCCCTTTTTTTAATTATTCAGAGAGAGAGAGACAGAGGTAGACACACAGGCAGAGGGAGAAGCAGGCTCCATGCAGGGGGCCCAATATGGGACTCGATCTGGGGTCTCCAGGATCACACCCCGGGCTGCCCAAGTTAACGTTTTAAATTTTTTTATTTTATTTTATTTATTATTTATGATAGTCACAGAGAGAGAGAGAGGGAGAGGCAGAGACACAGGCAGAGGGAGAAGCAGGCTCCATGCACCGGGAGCCTGACGTGGGATTCGATCCCGGGTCTCCAGGATCACACCCTGGGCCAAAGGCAGGCGCCAAACCGCTGTGCCACCCAGGGATCCCCCAAGTTAACATTTTAAATAACAAAAAGTCAATGAGGAAATCCCAGTTCTGGCATGTGGGTTGTACATAAAGTAAATTAGGCCAGTTAATCTGCTTCTCCCTAGCCTTCTATATGGCTTCTCTTTGGCTGCTAGTCTGGACCTTTCTCTAGGTTTCCAGCTTTTAGTCAACATCTACATAATCCCTTCCCGTGTTACAGGATGAAGTATAATAAGAGGTCAAAGGAGACTAAGAGCAAAGGGATCAAGCCAATGGGGATGTTCTATGGCTAGAAAATCTTCTCAGAATACCAGTCAAAATATTCTCAAGGAAACTACTGAGTACTATGATGAAAAGTAATTCTATAGTTTTTGCTTTTCCTACATTAGGAGTAGGATGAGAATTATGAGGAATATGTAAACAAATATGATACACTATAAGGAGGCATCACAAAATGTAAAAATTATGCTTGCTAATTTGGTATATAAACATAAAAATTATATAAATACATTAGCTTTACACAGTATACAGGCACTAACGTATTTATAGCAGACTGTCTATATATTTATACACATCTTTATGAAAAATCAGGCATCAAGACTATGGAAAGAGGCTAATATTAGAGCATTACTTTGTGGGCAAATCAGATTCAACTCTGTATTTTCAACATATAGTATGTAAGAGTAAAGTCTGACAAAGTTCAACTAAGCTAAAAAATTACTATAAGCAAGTGTTTAAGCAATAACACCAATTGCCAGGCTACCTTACTGCATTTCTAATGATTTATTAAAAAACAAAAAAAGGGGCTCATGGGTGGCTCAGTTGATTTAATGTCTGCCTTCAGCTCAGGTCACGATCTTGAGGTCCTGGGATGGAGTTGAGTCAGGTTCTCTGTTCAATGGGAAATCTGCTTCTCCCTCTCCCCCCAACCACTGCCACCCCAAATAAATAAAATCCTTAAAAAAAAACAAAAAAATTTTGGGTCAATTATCAGTATTACAGATGTTTTACATAAGGAATTCTTCAGAGTCTTTGCTAATTACAACATTAATTAAATAAACATGAAAGGACTAAAGGGAAATTCCTTCACTGTTAAATAAATGTATACTGTTTAGGCTCTGATTTAAAAGGTCTTTTTGTGTGCCCTTGGTAGCTATTTAAGGTCTGAGTACAAAGTATAAATATCCATAAATGTTGCAGTCACACTGGGCATTCAAATCATATGGAGAAATGTAAATGAAATGGGAATAGGTCATGATATATATAAAATAGGTATTTTTATATATAGATAGATGTATTTCATAGGGTGCACAAAGAAGTGTATGATTCAATTTGATCAATTCCTTCCTGAGATTTTATGAGAATAAAATTCCTATCAGTATAAATGACAGATTATACATTGTGGTTTAAATTTTTCTAATGTTAATACATCTGTGAAACTGCAAGGGAAGTTATGAGGAAAAGATGATTTGATACAGAAAAACCTTATTTTTACTTTTAATAATACAGATGTGGAAATTCAAGAACCAGTCCTCTTTTATTTTTTTGGACTACCATGTTTTGCTCAAAGTATTGAGTTTTTTCCCTAACAAGAGTTAGACTGGAGCCAGCCTAGCAAAAATACTAACAAAATGTATATTTTTTTAAGTGGTTCTCAAGAGGAATTTTGATACAGCTTTTATACATTAAACAAGTGCTAATAATAAAACCTTATAATGTTCATATACAAAGAACAGTACCATTGTTAAAATAATACTGAACATACCATCTTATTTATACTCATCTTCAGTGACGATAACTGCCTATCAGAATCTTTTTCCTAGCTATAAATTTATAAGAAGTTCACTTCTAACATAAATTCCAGAAACATCTGGAAGTAATGACTAAAAAAATTCCACTGGAAACTTTAGAGTAGATGCAAAGGTTTCCCGAATTACAGAATAATAATTTTTTAAAAAAGATAATCCCATGTATTCCTATGTTCAATCTTAATGGCAATAAATTAAAAGGCTGTGTAGTGGGGTTACTGCTGCATAAATATGTGTATGTTACCTCCTTTCTCTTTTTATGTCTCTTTGGATGTCTAAGGTCTTCATATTTTTCACTGTGTTTAAGATTCTTTATCCAATGCTGGCTCTCAAGCCTGATTTTTCTTCTCCCAAAGACAAAATGCCTTCCCCAAAAAGTAATTGTGAACTGTAAGTGGGCAGAAAGAGGGGTGCAAATATAGAGTATAATTATACTTCAGAGAAGTCAATGGGATTAGTATTTAACATGATAGATAAGTATTTTAACTTTATACCCATCTCATAAAGTAATATTTACTCTAAAAGGATAATAAAAGGACAAGGCTGATAACCAAAGGGCTTATGAATTGAGCCAGAGATTCCTTTGGGGGAAGAAATATGAAAAGCTAAAGGGGACTTTCTGAGAAAAGGGGAAATAAATAAATACTGGAACAGAAGACAAAACTCTTAGAAGCTGGTGACTGAAGAATAAGGAGATCCAGCTAGTGAAGGTAGAGAAGGTGTAAATGCAGAATGGAAGAGATCAGGAATAACATGCAAGGAGCGCCAATGGCAAAAGTTAGGATTATGAGAAAATAATATTTGAAAGGCAAACACTGAAGAAAGTGTTTCAGCTGACTTGCTTTATCTAGTGACCAAGGATTTTAAAAGAAGCCAGAAGAGCCCTAACTGGACGGGATTTTAGTTGTCCAGGTATCAAAAGGACCAAGGACTAGGAGAAAGATGGGCAGATCTAGCTAGGGGTTAATGTGTAATGAAAGAGAAGGATTCAAGGTGGATGACAAAAGGAACTAGTTAATGTTTACTGCTACCTCAAGACTGACCACATAAGTGCAACGTGCAATACAAATAAGATGTGGGCAGTTTGTTTCTTCAATTAGGTTATTATTTTTTTGGTCATTGACCCTCAAAATAGGAGAATTCTCTATACTATATCCAAAATTAGGGAAGTCAAAAAATGCCTAAAAGGATTAGCAAAGCCTCCAATAGTTTGTATCATATGGGGGCCTCAATTAAAATCAAACACTGGAGGTTTACTTTTGTGTGGAATAATCATTTGAAATTTTAATGGCAGCCTTTTTTATTATTTCATTTTTTGTATGTTATTTGTTCCTTGCTATACATTTTGGAGAAGATGTGTCAAGAGTTTGATGTAAAAAAAAGCAGGACCTAACATGTGTCCTAAGTAAACAGCTGCTCATTAAGATAATACTTCCAGTTACTGGCTTAGAAAGCAAGATTCTGAGATTACTGCTTAGCCCAGGCCTGTGACTTGTCAACCAAAAAAGTTACTTCCTCTTTAGTACAATGAATTGCAGAAGTACAGTTAAACAGTTATCTATGAGGGTTTATTGGCAGGCATAGGATATGGTGGGTGAGCAGAGATACTGATATATTTTTTTTTTTTGCCAGTGACCAAAATATTTACAAATTTCATAAAATGGAAAGAACTTTCTAAAAAATTAATAAGATCTGTTTCACAAATAACCAATTCAACTGGAACACTGAATAGTAGAAATGACAAAAGATTTGTTCTTATGGTTGATAAAAAATTTATATGATGGCATTCAAGTAAAGTTATTTTCTGTGTTCTGATTTAATGAATCATGTGAGTTGTATCTGGTTGGGTGACACAGATGCTGGCTCATTGAAGCCTACTCTAATGCCTCCCAGCACAGCCTTCCTTGGGACAGTGAAGCCAGAGTAACATGTCAGACTAAAGAAATATCAAAGAAAGAGAAAGCAGGGCTAGAGATGCTTTGAGGTTGGCTCATAACACTTCTTGACCTGTGAGTGTCCAGTAAGTATTTAGTGTCCTATGGGCTTCAATGACCTAACAAGCACTGAGTAGCAACAGTAATGCAGTAATGAATGGTCCTCAAAAGAAGACTTGCAATTCAAGCTGAAAAACACTACACTTACTAGATGGTTTTAACCCTACTGAAACCACTAGTGATTTCTTCAAAGGTGAATGAGTATTAAATGTAAAATTTTTATATATGCTTGTGTAGTAACTTGTACTTTAAGTTCCTTTACAACTGTTTGATTTTAAAAATGTTTATTACTTTGGAAAATAAAACTTTCCCAAAGCTGTTAATGATAATAAATTTTGAAGAAAAGTGAGATACCATTAGATATATTGGTAAAACTAGTTATAAAATAATGAGGGTCATTAAATGCTAATAAAAATGCATTGTTAAAAATTAAATTAAAGGACTATTCCATATGTATTCCACATGGAGATGTTCTCCTCTTTAAAAAGATAACAAATAATATTTTTGAAGAAAAAGGCCCTCAGAAGAGAAGATAGTAAGAAAAGATAATAAGAGTAATTAAAGCTTATCAAAATATTGGCATATCACTTTACATGAAAGTTATTTCATCACACAGGAAAGTAAGACACAAAATAGAGGTACGTTTTCCAAAGATGCTTATAAAACCAATGAATAACTTGGTTTTTCCCCAATCAAAATTCCATTTAGCATTGAAAGTTAAAATCTGAAAGAGTACTTACAATGACAGCAACACCATAGCAATTAAGGTCCACTCCACAGGTTTGTGTATAATATTTCTATTTGTTAATCTGCAAAATAGGAAGATAAAGTTTACTATTATATTTAAATACATAAACCATCTATGTTTAAATAAAATCAGATTTTTGACATCATGTATCAAAGAGCACGATTTTCTATTCTTCATATGTTTGATAGGAGTCAGTAGTATAATACTGTGACTTGATCTTTGGTATCTGATAAGGATGATCTCAAAGGAAAGTGCTGCAGCCCCACTTCTATATACTTATAACAACAGTACTGTTAGATACTATGGGAATATGGGAACAATATGGGAAACTAAATTGCATGGTTTATTAAAATACACACATATACACACAGTTCCCTGTAACTGTTTTCTGTATTTTCCCCCAGTCAAACGTTTCATTAAAGCCAACAAAGTAATAAGCAATTTCTGATTTTAATTCATCTTTTGCATCTTTCTACCTTGTGGTAGGTTGGCAGCAGGCACTGAAAGGATGTCATAATCCATAGTTTACAGAAATGAGTTGACTTAATAAACTGTAAGACTAAGTCTTCAGTAAAAATTTTTAAAAAGTCAGAAATTAACTCTATCACTTAGTAGTTGATGACAACAAAATGCACTGTAGTCAACTTAGTTTCTCAGAAACCATCTGGAAGAATTGCTCTAAATAAAAAATGATATAAATCAGTAAGAAAAGGGCAGCCCCAATGGCCCAGCGGTTTAGCACTGCCTTCGGCCTAGGGTGTGATCCTGGAGACTGGGGATCGAGTCCCACGTCAGGCTCCCAGCATGTAGCCTGCTCTCCCTCTGCCTGTGTCTCTGCCTCTCGCTTTCTGTCATGAATAAATAAAATCTTTAAAAATAATAAAATCATTAAGAAAAAAAGCCTAGCCAATAATATCTGATAAAGGACTGTTATGCCAAATAGACAAAGAATACTTAAAATTTAACAACAGGAAAACAAATAGCCCAATTAAAAAATGAGCCAAATGCCATAAGAGACATCTCATCAAAGATAAATGACAAATAAGCACATGAAAAGATGCTCCACATTGTATCTCATAACAGAACTGCAATTTAAAACAATAGTGAGATAATGCTATACACCAATTACGATGGCCAAAATCCTGAACCAAAATCCCTCCATCAGAGTCATACATTTGCTATAACTGATGAACCTACATTGACATCATTATCACACTGGTCAAATGTTTGGCTCTGTAGCAGGGATGTGGAGCAAGAGGAACTCTCATTCATTGCTGATGAGAATTCAAAATGGTATAGCAACTTTGGAAGAGTGTGGTGCTTTCTTATAAAACTAAACCTACTCCACCATCTGATTGGCAATCATGTAATTCCAACTATATGACATTCGGGAAAAGGTAAAACTATGGAGATAATTAAAAGATCAGTGGTTGCCAGGAGTTGTGAAATGGGGGTGGGAGTGAGAAGTAGACAAATAGAGCACAGAGGTGCTTTAGGGCAGAGAAAATACCCTATGATACTATAACGATGGACATATGTCATATACTCATTCAAAGCCAGAGATTATATCATACCAAGAGTGAACTCTAATGTAAACTATGGACCCTCGGTGATGATGATATTATCAATGTAGGTTCATCAACTGCAACAAATGTATAACTCTGGCTGGGAGTGTAGCTAATGGGAGAAGCTATGCATGTGTGGGGGCAAGGAGTATTATAGGAAAACTCTGTACCTTTTTCTCAATTTTGCTATAAACCTGAAACTGCTCTTAAAAAATTGTCTTAAAAAAACCCAACCAATAAACAAATAGACAAAGGAAATGAGCAGGTAATTTACAGAGGAGGAAATGGTTGTCAACATTTCAATAAAGAGTTTAAATTCACCAGGAAACATTTGGATGAGTGTGTAATTTAACCAGTAATCTGGAAAACTAGTATAAAAAGCAATTCACTCCATCACACTGGCAAAAATAAAATATTGATAATAGCAAAGGCTGGTGAGAATATGAAGAAATAGTATTTTTAACACACTTGATTGAGCAAACAATTTGGCAACATCTAATAAAGCTAAAATGCATATGAATAGCTGAACTATTTCATTTCTAGACATAAACCCTAACCAAAATCTCACTTATGTTTAAGAAATATGTATAGAGATAGTTAATACGCTTGTAATGGGAAAAATAATAAGTTGTGGCATTATTATAGAATACTAAAGAGCTGTCAAAATGATGAATGAACTAGACTTACATATTTTGCTCATCATAATTTGAATGAAAGAGAGCAAGTATGGTATCACATTACTTATGTAACTCAAGAACAGACAAGACTCAGTATTATTTCTGGATACACCTATGAGTAGAAGAATAAAAACACAGAATAGAAAGATATTTATTAAATTCACAGTTACCAGCTGCTTCTGGGGGAGAAAAGGAGAATGGACTGTGAAAGAGAACAAAGGGGAATTCATGTCAGGGCCTTTGCATTGGCAATTCTATTGCCTGAAACTATCTTCCCAAGTTAAGTTTTCTTGTCACTTTCACAATAAGGCCTGTCTGGACCATCATATTAAAAAGTGAAACTTCTGGAGGCACCTGTGTGGCTCAGTTGGTTAAGTGTCCAACTCCTGATTTTCGCTCAGGGTGCTGAGATTGAGACCTGTGTAGGCTCCGTGGGGAATCTGCTGGAGATTCTCCCTTTCTCTCCCTCTGCCCCTCCCCACCATTCACATGCATGTTTTCTCTCAAATCTTAAAAAAAAAAAAAGGAAACTTCTTTCCATTTCCCAGCCCCAAATTCCCAGCTCCCTTACCTAGCTAGCTATATATCTTTTTCCCCTATTCCAGTTACCACCTTTAAAAAAAAAAAAAGATTTATTTTACTTATTTCAGAGAGAGAGATAGAGAGAGAGAGAGTGTGTGTGTATGTATGTATGTGAAGGACGGAAGGGGGAAAGGGAGAGAGAAACACAAGGAGACTCCGTGCTGAGCACAGAACCCAACGTGCAGCTGGAGCCCAGCATGGGGCTTGATCCCACTACTCTGAGATCAGACCAGGCTGAAACCAAGAGTCGACACTCCACTGACTGTGCCACCTAGGCACCCCTCCACTATCACCTTCTAACATACTATTGTTGATCATCTGTTTTGGTTTTTGCCTGTGGCAGGAATCTGTATGTTTTTTTTTCACCTATTTATTTCAGATCAATTCCTTGGTTGTTCAGAATGATTTGATATCTAGCTGTCTTTGAGGGATGAGGCAAGCATAGGGTCCCCCTACTACTCTTGCCATCTTAACTCCTCTCTTCACCTATTTATTCCAAATACCCAGAATGAGGTGGGCATTCCATTAATTTTTTTCTAAATGAGTGACTTATTTTAATTAAAATACATACATTTGGATCAAATATTACAAAATAATAATATCTATTAATTCTGAATGAAGGGGATCCCTGGGTGGCGCAGTGGTTTGGCGCCTGTCTTTGGCCCAGGGCGTGATCCTGGAGACCCGGGATCGAATCCCACGTCAGGCTCCCGGTGCATGGAGCCTGCTTCTCCCTCTGCCTGTGTCTCTGCCTCTCTCTCTCTCTCTCTGTGACTATCATAAATAAAAAAATTCTGAATGAAGAATATGTGTATCTTTATTATACTAATCTGAATTTTCCCATAGTTAAAATGTTTTACAAAATTTTAAAAAGCCCAGATGACATAAAAAAGGAAGTACTATACTATGGTGGTTAAAAAGTCTGACAGACATGTGGGTTTGATACTCAGATCTGTCACTTAGCCATACTTGGAACACATTTCAATAGCTGAAGAACTATTTTTAAATTCAATAAAACAGGAACAATGGTACTACCCACCTCATAGGAGTTCTTATGAGAACTAAATGTACAAAAGATACCCATATTGCCAAATAGACATTTCTCAGCCCCCATCTTAATCTATTAATCTTTCCTAGACCTTCTGATTTTGGATAAATCCATGGCCTCTGCCCTTGGGTCTCTCTTTTCCTCTATATATACGCATTTCCTTGGTGCTGTTATCCAATTTCATAGCTGTAAATATTAGATAACTATGTGCTGACAGCTTTCATATTTATGATCTCTAGCCTGGGCCTTTTCCTTGAATTCCAGACTTCTAGATCTAATGGTTTCCTTGATATGTATTTCCACTTGAATACATAATGGTCATCTTAAAACTTAGTACAGCCAAAATTGAGCTCTTCATCTTTTCCCAAAACCAGGTCATCCTGCAGATAGGTCCACCTCAGTGAATGGCCACACAATCCTTACAGAATCCAGTTGGTCAGATCAAAAATCTTGTGGTTAACCTTGGCTCTCTTGATGTCCCATGTCCAACTGGTCATCAAATCCTGATGATATTACCGTCAAAACAGAATTTGATTACTTCTTACCTCCACTGCTTTCACCTTGGTCCACCATCATTTCTTGCCTGATTACCAAGACAGCATTCTAAATGGTCTTCCTGCCTCTGCCCATCTACTGTAATTCTCAAATTAGCAGAGTGACATTGTTAAAAATGTATGTCAGATCACGTCTTTCTTCTGTTCCAAATCAATCAAATGCTCTCCATCTCACTTGGAGTAAAAGTGAAAAATGAACATAGCTATAAGGCCTATATAATCTATACCAAACCTACTCCTCGCCCTGTACTTCTCTTACCATATCTTTTTGTACCTTTGCATCTGCTCATTTCTTCAGCTTCACTAGCATCCCTAATATTTTATGACTACACCATGCCTGCTGTACCCAGTATAGTTTCTCAGAAAACAACATGACTTGCTCTCTCACTAACTTTTAGATCTTTTCTACAAATGGCATCATCTCCATGAGGTCTTCCCTGACCAGCCTATCTGGTCACAGATAAAAAAGCACAACTACCTCCCTCTTTAGTACCAATCCCTTTCCCAGCTTTTAAGGAGAAAATGAAGAGAATGAATTGAGAAAGGGGAAAGGAAATATCATCACATAATGATAATGCATATATTGTTTTAAAAATTTTACATTTCCTTTGTATTAGAATAGTTCCATGAATGAA